GTAAATTATTATTCTTATCTTCAGCTTCTTTATTTATTCTTAATAAATTATTAAACGGTGCTGAATAAACTGTATATAAATCTTGACTCTTCTATTATTATTATTATTATTCTTTCACTATAGATTTATATAGTCAGAGACTATAACATCTACCTGAAAACTTTTAGTTCTCAGTGTTTTTCTAGTGTCTGTAAGGCCAATTATTGTACAGTTGTCAATTTCAGATATGCAAAATTAGAAAATTCTAGCTCAGAATATAAAAAACTCTCACAAATTATAGTATTTTTAATATCTTGTGATACTTTTGAAATCATTTAGAAAGTAACATAATAAACGAAAAGAAATAAAGTCTTAATGATAGTTACAGTAGATAGAAAAGAAAAGAAAAGAAACTGTAAGAAAAGACAATATTAAAATAAATATGTTTCAAGAGAGTATATAGCTGTTTTAACAGACTATATCAAATCAATTTTCATCTCTTCACATTCAGACAGTTCTGAATTTAGTCATTTTCTTATAGCTGCTTAAGTTTCTGATAGAAAGTCTATTAAGTATTTAATTCCTGTCTTAGTTGAGAATAAGAATCTAATATTTAATTGATTTAAATTATACTTCTCTTTCAATCTGGCTCTGAGTCTATTGTATAATGTACAATGCATTACAATATACTCATGAATTTTATTTGAATTGCAGAATGAGCATTCTGTTGAATCAAATCTATTCTCAAATCTTTGTATATAATATTTGAAATAATCATGTTCTAGTTTCAGCTGAATTATAGATGAGAATACTTTCTTTTTACATTTTATTAAACAAGATTTTCACTTGAGTGTTGTTTCAAATCTTGAATAATATGTACTCTTGTTTTGTTTCTACCAGCTTTGATTTTACTTATTTAAACAAGATTCTTTCATTATTATTATTATTATTATTATTATTATTCTTCCATTATACTCATATGCAAGCGGAGCTTATGATGAGTCCTTGCATGATGTTAAATACAGGTCAAGTGTTGGTTATACAGAAGGAAATACAGGTGTTGAGACCATGCCAAGATAACAAGAACATAGGAAATACAAAGAAGTGACAATTAGATACATGCGATAATAACTTCCCAGCCCAGGAACATAGAGCAATTTTATTGAAGTGATTTGTACACCTCTGTAATTATTAGAAACCTGAGGTGCTTGGGTTCCAGATTTAATGTATCCCCTGCGGGTTTCAAACCCACATGCCTTGGTTTCCCACGCCAAGGTGCTACTGAGTGGCTGCATTAATCATTCGGCCACCGGGGCAAGATTCTTTCATCTTTCTCTCTATAAAAAACTAGAACACTGTTTTTTAAGTGGATCTATTTAATTCTGAACTCTTTTCTGCAGCTGAATCAGTTAATTCATTATCATAAATATTTACATAAGCAGGAACTTAGTGTAGATGAATTATCAGTTGTAATATTTTTCTCTTTTTAATTTTGATATCAGAATTTAAAATCAGTTCAAGATTCATTTAATTATTATAAATCTGACTATTTCTAAGTCATTTTAAAGCAGCTTGACTATCAGAGAATATTTATATCTCTTTCAAACTAGTCTCTCTTTTATAAGATTTTATTTTATTAAGTTTGAAAGCTTTCACTAGAATAAATAGTTCAGCATCAAAAACTTCAGTTTTACAGTCTAAATTTCCAAAATCTGAGATAAAATTAATATCATGTTCAGTATAAGCAATGTCTGTATCTAATCTATTTAAATTCTCATTTTTTAAGTCATCTGAGTAAATCAAAATAGAGTCTTTTATATTAATTGTAAAGATCTTTTTCAAATGCTGTTTATATTCTCTCTTATTAGATAGTTCACTAATTTGCAAGTCTATAAGAGATTTCAGCTTTTCTCTTCAGAGAGATATCTTCTCATGATCAACTTTCTGAATATTTAATAAAGAAAATTAATTTTTAAGCAGTGAATATATTCTATATAGTTGAGAGAGTATTTTCTTTGAAGAATTATTTTCATTTCAATTAAGAAATCTATTCTAATTCAGTTCATTTTCTGAGTTGATTGATGAAAATGAAGAAGAGACTCTTTCTCTGAATATATAATTTAAGCTCATTTTTTATAACTCTCAGAGTATAGTTCATACAGGTCTTTTCAAATCTGATAGCAGAAGAGAGAATTGATGCTTCAATTTCTATTGCTTTAATAGAAGATGATTTAAATACTCTTAGAATTCTTTTAGAGCTCTGATTTACAGACTATGAAAGAATTAAGTGAAATTTTGTTGATTATTCTATCAAACTTGAACTTCATAATCAGCTACTGAGGTGATACAGACTATATATAACTGTCTCATAGCCTGGAACAATAGACCTCTCTCTGTATATAATAGTCTGATTATGCTATTTAATAATCTTTCTGACTTGATAGTTCTTTGTTGAATATAATATTTAAAATTCAACTTGAAGTTTAATCATACTTTCAATCATTTAACATTCAAACTGGGTTTAATATCTTTATTCAAAAGAGTTAGACTTAGTTTTTTTCTTATTAAATCTGGAAAAAAAGTGAATTCACTCAGTTTTATTCATATTAAATTGAATTTGATTGATATCTGCTCTAATAAAATTTTCTTTACTCTCTTCTTAATCATTTCTAAATTCTCTTTAATTATTTATAAACTGTAAACTAGATCAATATCATCTATATAGCTTGAAGATCTCACTATTTTCATCTCTCTAATCTTGAATAGATATGCTGTGTATAATGTAAATAAAACAGATGAGATTGAAGATTCTTACAGTACTTGTATTTTTCTCTCTGTCTTATCTTATTTCATTTCATCAAAGAATAATTATATAATTCTTTTGAATATAAAACAGTTAACTCATTTTATTAGAGAAAGTGACAGTTTTAACATCTTTAAAGTTCAAATCATCTTTGACTTTGAAACATGATTAAATGCTTCTTTTATATAAATAAAAACTGCATTTGAGACCAGATCTTTATGCTTTACTATTTGAATATTATGAACAACTGAAAGAACAGTGTTAATTGCGCCCCGGTGGCCGAATAGTTAATGGGGCCACCCAGTAGCACCTTGGCGTGGGAAACCAAGGTGTGTGGGTTCAAAACCTGCAGGAGATACATTAAATCCAGAACTCAAGCACCTCAGGTTTCTAATAAATACAGAGATGTACAAATCACTTCAATGAATCACTCTATGTTTCTGGGCTGAGAAGTTATTATCACATGTATCTAATTGTAACCCCTTTGTATTTTTCTATGTTCTTGTTATCTTGGTGTGATCTCAACATCTGTATTTCCTCCTGTATAATCAACACTTGACCTGTATTTAACATCACGCAAGGACTCATCGTAAGCTCTGCTTGCATATGAGTATAATAAAAGAATAATAATAATAATAATAACAGTGTCAATTGCAGAATATTATTTTCTATCTTTTATTTATTTATTAAATAAAAGAAAATGACTAATAGAGCTTATATAAGATAGTCTAGTAACTATTTTCTTTTCTAAAATTTTTCCTAGATAGTATAATAGAGATATTTCTCTATATAACTTAGAAATTGAAGCTTTTCTATTAGATTTTAGAAGAATCACTTCAGTAGCTTCTCTTCAGTATTCAGAATAATATTGATTTTTTAAGAGATTGAAAAAGAGCTTAAAATATTCATTCTTTAAGTTAAAATATATATTTCAAATGATTAATTGATTGATTGAATCAGGCTCTGCAGCAGTTTTAATTGAACTTGAGATTATAGCTGACTCTAGTTAATTATGTGTAAGCTTAGTCTACTCTTAGTTATTTTTATTAATATATTCATGAAATAATATCTACTTCTCTTCTGAATCTGATAAATTTTGAAAGAGAATTCTCATAAAAGCTTGATATGTTTTCTTAAAAGAGTTTGCTGTATATAATTCATTCTGAAACTTATATTCTAAGGTTGAAAGTTTTGCTACACTTCTTGTTTCAGTATAGTTAAAGACTTCAAAAACTTCTTTCTCTTATACTTCTTTAAGAAATTTGTTTCAGTAGTTTTTTTTAGCTCTTTTAATATGTGAAAAATATTCATTTCTGATAGCTTTGATCTCTTTATTAGATATTAAGTTATTGTTTTAATCTCTCTTAGCAGTGACTAGTTATTTTCTTTTAGAAGTGATATTCTCATTTCATTAAGATTTGAAATACTTAGAAGACTTTTTCTCTGAAATATTTTATCTAATACTTATTAGAAGAATAGATGTAATTAACTTTACTCAATTCTCAAGTATTTCATTTGATATATCTTAACTCTGATTTCAATAGAGCTTACTCTGCTTTTTAAATTTCAGCAGTTTTATACTTTCTTTAACTGCTTTTCAATCAGCTTTTTCAAAGTTATATTGATTAGAGAGAAGAGAATTTTCACTTATTTATTTTTCACTCAGTTTAATATCAAATTAAATAATCTCATGATCTGATTCTGAGATCTCATTTAAATTAATAAACTAGTTTATAAGTCTTTTTTCAATTAGATTTTATGATATGAAAGTTAAATTTATAATAGATTTCTGAAAAAAGTAATAATATTTGATAACACTTTCTATTGAATTTTCAACAAATCAGTACTATGTTATGATATTATATAAGTGAGAAATAATTTCATAGTCTTATTTAATATTATTCTTAACAATGAGATCACAATGAAAATATAACTAAGAATTTAAACATATTCTTTAACTAAGACTAAATTTTTATTTGAAAAGTGAATTTGAGATCTTTAATATTTGAAATAAAGTGATTTGAAATCAATGTAATGAATACAAATCATGATCAGAAGTAATGCTTTGAAGCAATGTGATAACTGTAAACTTTGATTCTGATCTCAGACATGGTCACACGGTCAGTCTAGCAGTTTCTACACATTTTTCATTCTCTTGAGATCTTTCAATCATCTAAGACAGATAATAAATGTGTGAATGATGAAGAAAAACCATGAGAATTGACAAAGGGATGATATTTTGTTGTAGTGTTGATTTATCATCCACTATTCGGCATAGTGGGTGGGGCGGCAAGTATTCCTTCGTGTCTCAATGTTTCAGCCCTTCTGAAGGATTACATAGTATCTCGCCAGCAGGCTTGATTTCACTTTATCCAGTATCTGCTGTGGCTGACCAACTGGCAGGCTCCATAGAAGCCGCGGGGCCTTAACGGTTAAGGCCTAGCCCGATTCCTGGCGGGCCGCGCGGGAATATCGATACATACTTCGCACTCCGAAAGTGGTGTAGAATGATATGATGATGGGAAGCAATCCCTCTTTTGGCTATGAATAATCCATGCTCAGCCCGCTGGTTCCATGATCGGCCACCACATCTTTGGGAAAAACTTAATCTGGTGACGATGAAATCAAGGAGCTTTCTAGCCGAGGGTAGAATATCATCCACACTCAAACATCAGCAGCCCTATCACACAAGCTAGAAAAACTGGTATGATTCATTTTATTAGTATGATCCTTTGTTCATAATTTGTTTCGAATCCTTTTCGCCTTCGATAATATGTATGACGCTAATGGGGCGCTAACAAACAGGCCCTTGTCCCACATTTATGTGGCGTTGACCTGAAAGCCACTCTTCGTATAAGTACGGGCTAGTAGCACGGAATAATGATGGTTTTGTTCGGGTTTCGTAGATTTTGAATGAAAATATATCTTTCCTTCTTCTTTTTCGAGGGATCTTGGCCTTTAATATTTAATTTACTTTTGTGATTTCCTTTCTCTTCGTTTGTGTGATTTTAATTTATCTGTCGTAATCAAGAATGAAATCGGACTTGGTGGCGCTCTGGACCACCATCATTGCAGGCGCTCTTTCAGGTCAGTTTAGGTGCGCTCACCGCGTGCGATTGTTAATTGAAACCCCCTGACATATCCACTTCGGATAGGAAGATAATAACTGGAACTTCAGGTACAACTACGGCTGCTGCTCTTGAGCCCATTCGGGATGTAGCTGTACGAGCCTTGCCGAACGCTCCCGATGGGTATACGCCTGCCGAAACAAGGTGCAGCGACAGCCGTCCGTCAGTTCGCAGTGCGGCAACGCTCTCGCAAAATGAAAGGTTCTGGCTGGAAAGAAGAAGAAAGCAGACCACCGATGCGATGAAAGATTTCTTCGGCCGCGTTACCATTGACGGATTCGATGTGCGGGCTTACCTTGAAAACAATGCGCAAAACCATTCTGCGCTCCCTAATGTTGGAATTGCGGTTTCAGGTGGTGGATACAGAGCTTTGATGAATGGTGGAGGCGCATTGAAGGCATTTGATAGCCGGACAGAATCTGCCACGGGCCCTGGACAACTAGGTGGCCTGCTGCAGTCGGCCACTTATCTATCCGGTCTAAGCGGTGGCGGATGGCTCGTCGGATCACTTTATATCAACAATTTTACCACCGTTTCGGAATTAGAGGCAGATGAGGATGGATCGGTATGGGAGTTTAGCGAATCGATTCTCGAAGGCCCAACAGAAAAGGGTATCAAGTTTCTCAATTCCGTCGATTATTACAAGGAAATATACAGGGCCGTAGAGGGGAAGAAAGATGCTGGATTTGATGTTTCACTGACAGATTATTGGTGTGTTTTACTCTCCTGCAAAGAATTATTACGTGTCAAATCCACTGGTTATGGGACTAGAGTTGACCATAATTGCTGTTTCAAGGGGCCGCGCTTTGTCGTACCAGCTCATTAATGCCCCGGAAGGCGGGCCAGCGTATACATGGTCCTCCATTGCGCTTAGCCAGGATTTTAAGGACGGGAATATGCCACTGCCCATCCTGGTTGCCGACGGAAGGAATCCTGGGGAGTTGTTCATCGGAGGCAACGCCACAGTATTTGAGTTTAACCCTTGGGAATTTGGCACATTCGACCCGACTGTCTTTGGCTTCATTCCATTGGAGTTCCTCGGGTCAAAATTCGAAGCAGGGACCGTGCCCCGGTCCGAATCTTGCGTACGTGGTTTTGATAACGCGGGTTATATCATGGGCACATCATCATCCCTCTTTAACCAGTTCTTGCTGAACTTAGATGGCGTTGATGTGCCGGGATTTGTCATAGATGCATTCAAGTCTATCCTTGAGAGCATTGGAGAAAGTAACAATGATATCGCAGCTTACGAGCCCAATCCCTTTTTCCGCTACTCCAACGATACGTCGCCATTCGCGAAGGAGGAATCCCTAAACCTTGTGGATGGTGGGGAGGATCTGCAAAATATTCCTCTTCATCCTTTGATTCAGCCAGAACGGCACATCGACGTCATCTTTGCCGTGGACTCTTCTGCCGACAATGACTTCAACTGGCCAAATGGCACCGCCCTGGTCGCAACTTATGAGCGCAGCATGACCTCCAGCATTGCCAATGGCACCGTCTTCCCAGCAATCCCGGACGTGAACACCTTCGTCAACCTGGGACTTAACAAGATGCCCACATTTTTCGGGTGTGACAGTGCGAACATGACGGGGCCTTCTCCTCTAATAGTCTATATCCCCAACTCGCCCTATGTAGCCTTTTCCAATGTCTCCACATTCCAAATGGAATACTCCGTCGAACAGCGCCGTAAGATCCTTCAGAACGGATACAACGTTGCAACCATGGGTAACGCCACCGTTGACAAAAACTGGCCTACTTGTGTTGGATGTGCAATGCTCAGCAGGTCTTTTGAGCGCACAAATACGCCAGTTCCTGAAGCCTGCAAGAACTGTTTCGAGGCATATTGTTGGGATGGACGGGTTGATAGCACTGTTCCTTCAGTATACGAGCCAAAACTGCTGCTCGGGCCCGTGAATACGAAAAGTGCGGCGTCTGACATTGTCCCACATTCATTCGCTTTGCGCATTGCTGCTGTTGGTGCGGTAACGATAATGCTGCTGTAGTACAATGTACCAGCATGTAACCCTTCTTTGGATGTTTCCTTGACCCTTTTTTTTTTTTGGTCCACTGCAAGGCACAATTAGCGCTGTGCTTCTCACCGCCTTTTTTAGCCAATCGCAAGTTTGTTGTGGAGGTTACGCACCAATTAGGAATCAGAAAAGAGGTGGCAGAAAATCCACGCTAATTGTGCCTCGCGAGGAGCCAGTGACAAATGTGTCAAATTGGTCTTTTATACTGTTGGTGATTACTACACCTACTCTTGGAGGATAACGTTGTTGTGTTGTGTTGTAATCTAACTACGCGAGTTACACTAAATGGATAGGTTGGGGTGGCACGTGACTAGGGTAGGTGTAGTAATCACCAACACCCCCCCTTGCTACACCGTGGCCTATAATAAGCCGCCACCCGGGGCCTCCCCCATTCTCAAATCTTTCAAAAATACAATAATAATTAATTACATGAATCGGACCCTGATTTTCTTATTAGAAAAGGCGTCTGTACAGCAATAACTGTAATAATCAAGAAATACATGCAAAATCTATTGATTCATCATATCATCATTATCATTCAATCATTCCTTCTTCTCAATTTTCTGAATGTCAATTCTCTTGACAAATTCTTCAAATGCAGGCTTCATCAGTGACTTGATAAGTCTGTCAGCTATGTTTGCTGTAGAATCAATATATTTCATCATAATTTCTTCTTTTTCAATTAAATCACAGAGAATATAATATCTAATCTTGATATGATATGATCTTCATATTATGAATTCCTCTTTTGCTAGATCAATTGCTCTCTTATTATCAACTTATAGATGTGAGTATATTTTCACTTTTTTATCATTTATTAACCTGATGTCATATAACATATTATTCAATCAGATTATCTTACAAGCTGTCTCACTAGCTGTAATATATTCAGCTTCTGTGATTCATTTGATAATAGATGTCTGTCTCTGCAACTGCTATGAGATCAGTGACTCATTAATCAATATAACATAGTCAGTAGTTAATTTGTATTAAGAATCTATCTTCACTCAGTCTGAGTTGCAGTATATTACAGAACTGAGACTCTTATTACTGATCTTCTTTCTGTATAATATGTCTAGACTAGCTGCTGAGACTATGAATTTCACATTTGATCTCATTTGATCTGATTCTATACATTTCTTGGTGTGAATCCCGCTGGGACTGACTATTAAAAAAACATATAAAGTGACTATATATCAGATCTTAAAATGAAATCATGACTTGAAAAAAATAAGAAAGTGATTTCATTTGGTCTTATTTAGTCTCATTCTTGACATAAAGTGACTATTTTTAGACATTTTAAGGTTTTTTTTAGACTATTTTTAATTTTTTAAAAAGTAACACTTTTTGATAATACTCAAATGAGATTTGAAGTCATTTAAAGCAATAAAAATAATTTAAATTGAGAAGTGAAAATCATGATCTCATTTGAAAAATGTGATAAGAGTAGACAGTAAGTCTCACTGAGACAGTATGAAACTACTATCTAATGTTAAAACTGTGTAATGAGATCAGTTGAATTGATAATAAGACTATCAAAAAATCTGGTCCTGGTCTCAGACACGGTCACACGGTCAGTCTAAATATGTCATAGTTTTTCATCTTCTTAATATAACATAGAACATGCTTCAACACTGCTCAACATATCTTGTGCAGATATAAGTTAAAACATGAGAGATAGTTGATCACAAATATCAGATCTGACTGACTGCTTGAGATCAAATATTACAATGACCTCAATTCTTGATAATATCTTATAGCTGTAAAGTCATCATTCAATTCCTTCTTCTCATCAGATGAGAATTCCAGTCATATACTGATTACTATCAGAGTGTCAGCTGGATTTATCTTCTTCATACTAAAATCTTCAAGAATCTCTTCAATATAAGAGCTCTATATAATCACTAGATCATTATTTCTCTGATGATTAATCTTCATCTCAAGATATGACTTGATCTCTTTGACATTCTTTGTCTTAAATCTCTTTACAATCTTCTTCAATACTCAGTCTAATTGCTGTTCTCAAGATCTCATCACTCAGTAATTATCAACATGCAATATTAGAGAGATCTTGTGAACAGAGTAATATAGAAATTCATCATTATAAGATAATATCTTGAATCTCAATGTAGAAAGATACTCTGTTATGAGAAAATACTATACTCTTATAACTTGCTTCATTTCATATAGACTTTGATATAGTAATCTCATCAAGCTCTCTCTATCATGCTTAACACCTGTGAATAGTTGTATATAGATCATCTCATTCTGAGATAATATATCATTCAAAAATGCAGATACATAGTTAATTAATTTAATCTTTCATTCTTTGACAGTTGATATAGTGAATAGACTATGTGATGTAGATCCTGATATCACTGCAGTATATAATCTTATATAATGAATACTCTGCTATTGTAAGAACTCTCTAATCACTCAGTGAGCTTTAAAGTGAATGATTTCTCTCTTACTATTGAATTTCTGATTATATACTCATTTGTCTGTAAGAATATTCATTTCTGAGGTGTTCTCAATGATAATATATATCTTCTATTCAAATATCTTAATCTTCTTTTTCATGGTCTTATATTAATAGTCTCAGTCTGAGCTTCTCTTGACTTCTGTCAGTGTAGTTAATTAATCTGTCAGAATACTTAGAATAGAATTATTCTCATTAACAGAGTCTTCAGACTCTTCATTTATAACAAGCTGTGTCTTATTATCTAGAACATAGATTGAATCAATTACACTCTCTAAGTTCTTATTAACAATCATCTTTAAAATATCTGACTTTTTCTTTGTAAGTCTTCTTAGAAGGCAGTGTTATCATCTCTCTCTGACATTCAGAATGGTCAATTTATTAGATAATTCATTGAATTCTCTCATTATATTTACAGATGTATTTGCACTCGTGTCAAGAGCTTTATCAAATATAATATCTTGTACAATCTCAAGACAACATGTAATAGAATCTCACACACAATATTGATATAATTCTTGATATTCAATTAGCTGTCATTTCTTACTATCAGTTCTATCTGTAAGCTTATTCAACACTTTCAAATTCTTCTTATAGATCTTGCACTCTTATCTCTGTATTCAATGAATAGAAGATTGTATCTCAGTTCAAGCTTTAAAAGATGTAAATGATGTTTCTTTCTTACATTCAAATATCTTCATTAATATTGAGAATGTGTTAATCATCATAACTGTAGCTTGCATTACCTCACTTCAGAGCTCTTTCATCAGCTCACTATTAAATAGCAAGCTTCTTGTCTTCTCAGCTACAATACAATTGACATGTTCTGCGGGACTTTTCAATTGCAGTGTGTCAGAGATAGTCATTTCATATGCTATTTCTTTGCTCTGGCAGTAGGTCTTAAGATCTTGACCTTTAAATTCCTCTTCACTGTCTCAGTGTAGAGTTTCAACTTGATATTGCATAGTTATCTCAATATCTGTGATGAAATTCATTAACCTTGCAGTAGATTTCTCTTTTGATATTATTAAAATCACTCATCTATAGCGGGTTGCATCATTCATGATTTCTAATCAATAGCTTGCACCCTCTCTAGTGAGTATGTCATTTTCATTGAAAAGTGTTTTTTCACTCTCTGCCAGGTCAATGAAGAATCTCATTACTGATTTAACAGCTCATGTCATGAGTGCAAAGATCAGATGTGTCATTTTTACTTAAACACAGACCTTGTAAAACAGTAAAGCTTGTTGACCTATAATTCTCATTCTCAGATGTGGATCCGTCACCATTTTCATAATATCCGCAGGATTCAGATGCTCTAGCTTTTGATGTCATTGCATTATTGTAAGTTTCATAATCTTTGTATTATTCTTGTCAGGTAGTGTCAATATTGCATCACTACTCTTTATTCACAGTGTATTCACAGGTTCAAAACCATCATTGAGTATAGCAAATCAGATTAAGTCTCTGTATGTGACTGACTTTTCTATCTCATAGATATCCTTGTCATTCAATCTTGTAGTAAATGAGAACATTCTATCAGGAGATATAAGCAATATGGCATGATTATTTTCATATGCCAGTTGTTTGAAGGTATAACCTTGATGTATAAGCTTACTCATGCTCATAAGATTCACTTTCAATTTTGAAATATAACAGACACTGCTTAGCAGCATATTCATCTCTTTAACAGATATCTTGGTATTCTCTATAGTTATAGCTGAGACTACTGTTTCATCTGTCATTTTCAACATCACTTTCACCTTCTGAGGTTTTGCTATGACAAGATCCCTATGAGATGTGACATGAGTGCCTGATTCAGAGTCTAGAATTCAGATATCTTTTCCTGTCTGATCACTTGCATAGGCCTTTTCTTTGATGCAAAATACTTGCTTCATGACATTGTGAACAGAAGCAGCACCTGTATTCTTCACATTCTTGTCTTTATCCTTGTTTCTATTGGTGTTGGAATTCGAATTCAAAGGATGTTTCTCAGAGTATTTCTTTCAACAGTCGGTCTGAATATGATCAATCTTTTGACAATGATAGCAGATTCTTGCATTATTACTTCTACATTCAGATTTGAATTCAGTGTTCTTGTTCTTGTCATTGTCTTTCTTATCCTTGTCTTGAGCATTATTCGCGGGATTTTTCATGAATTCAGTACTACTATTTTCCACAGTAGAAAGTCATAGAAGTATGTCACAGTATAATCTCATAAAGCCTTCTTCTAAAGATCTTGAATTGTTCTTATCAATCTAGTTCATTCTATTCTTTCTAAAGAATGCTCAACCTCTATTGACTTCTGTCAGTAATCTATCAAAAAACACAACATTTTCAATCTTATATTTCAGACAGATATAATCAGTTCTGATGACAATTAATCATTCAATAAAAGCTCTGTTAGATTCTTTGCTTTTAAAGATTATTTCAATAAGCTCTTTAAATAAATGAGTTCTGTGTACAGCAGGTCTCTCAGAAAAGTTATTCTCTATAATAGTTCATAGAGTATAAGCTAATAATTTGAACTTCTTGAGTATAGTGAAATGAGTCTTAGTCTGCAGAACAATTGCAGATTACATGTAATTATATAATCAAAGATTGCATTCTTTTCAGAAACATTGCATGTTCATAGTAACATTCTCATCAAGATTATTATCTTTAAGAATATCATCAGTTTCAGACTACTCTGTAGTTAAAAGAATTTCCTGTCTTCACATGAAGTAGTTAATGAATTCAGTGAGAACTATTAATCTTTTGATAAGTCTTACTTAGCTTCTGAATTCTTCAAGAACTTTTATTATGACAGATGTCTTTTCTTTTCATTAAAGATATTCTGTCAGATCTGCTCTCATCTCATCATCTGCAGAGTTACCTCTACTGATCTTCATTCACTCAATCTCATGCTGAAGTCTTGCAATTTCTAGTCTTATACAAGTCTTCTCACTCACTGAGCTATTATTATTCCAGTCACTTGAGCTCTCTGCATTGTCTGACATCTTACTAATACCTTCAATCAGATCTTTATATTCATTGAACTCATCAGACTGTTTCTCTGTGATGATTTTATTCAGCTTAAATATCTCAGAAGTCATCTTCTGATTTATTATTCATATTAACAGTGATCTGTGATCTTGTATTTACTGCTCTGACATTTTCTCATTTCTTCATCTTAAAGACATATATTCTTTTGTTAAGTCAGATGTTCTTCTGAATCTTAGATTAATCATGAGTTTAATTAATTAATAAATCATCTACGCACACTTGTAATGACATGTTAAGATATCAATTTAACACATTATTGTGATTATTTATTACTTATGAAGAGCTTTATAACCTTCTGAAGAATAACATTATTATATTATACTGTAATCTAACTACATGAGTTACACTAAATGAATAGATTGAAGTGGCACGTGACTAGAGTAGATGTAGTAATCATCAACATCTACTCTAGTCACGCGTCACTCTCTGTAAGAATAAGTGCTCGCAGGTGATTATTCAGGTGTTTGCAGCTTGGCATGATATGTACTGTTAACTACTAGAAGTATTCACAGTAGAAAGATAAACTATAGAGATTAAATATATAATAGCATTCAAGCTGAGTTGTGAATAGTATTCACAAACTTCAGTCTATATAGTTGTGTGTAGTCAAGGGCCGCTAACTCTATTAGTTACATGAGAGATAGAAATAGAGATAAAAAATTCATAAGAAGCAGAATTTCTTACATACTCTCTCCTCTCTAAGACTTCATTTACAAAGTCTTTCACTGAGTGACTTCATAGAATCAGCTCAGCACTGTAGTAATACTCACTAAAAACTCTTTATATCTATAAAAAATCTCAGTGAGGAAAAATCCCTTGTTATTATAAAGAGAAAAGAGTCTATCACTTAATTTCTTATTTTATAAGATTCTTTATAGTCTATAGATTCTTCTCTGACTACTATACAGATTCATCTCATATCTTCTATATAGAAGAGTTTCAGTTAACTCTCAATCATTTTTATAAGATTCTTATGTAATTATTACACAGATTCATCTCACAGATGAATTACTCTCTATAAGATCACTCTTATTAAAGAGAAGTATTCATAAGTTAATCTTTCACTCATTCTTATGAATCATTATTCTTTAACACTGTAGAATTATAAGAAATTTTCTATTCTTTTATCAACTCTGTAGAATTATAGAATCAAGATATCTACAGTCTGTAATCACTCATTATAGTTATATAGAAAGATTCAGATCTGCAATTCACAATCACTCTTTATTTATTAGAGTAATCTAACTATTTCATAAAATCACTCACAGTATAACTAAATCTCTCTAGAGTAGTATAAATATCTCAGATCTATTTATAAAATTTCATCTTCTTTTTTCTTTTTCTATAACAGCTCTTATTTTTATAAACTGTGAGTATCTTCATTTATCTATGAAGTATTTTCACTCAGATAATAGAGAGAGAGTGTTTCTAACAATATCTATATATTGATTCAAGAACTTCTTAAGAATAAAAATATTTTCAATTTCAATATCTTCACAAATAATGTCTGACTGCTGTTAAGCTTCTTATAAGCATTCTCATAACTTCTCTGATTACTTTTTATCAGTTGATGAAGCAGTAACATCACTGCTCACAATAGTGTCTTCACTTCTCTCAGCTCTGTCATCACATCTGATCTTTGAATCAGTGATCAATCTCATGCCTTCTTCAGATCAGCTTCTGACTTTAAGCAGTGTAGTCTCTCTCTTTACTGTAAGTCTTCTTATAAGTAATTTCTTACAGACTCTAGCTAACAGTTCTTATAAAGCTTTTAGTTTTATCAGTGTCTTCTACAGCTCTGCAGACCTATAATTACTCTCTCTCTGCTCACACAATCTCTGATCAGGTATATGTAAATATGTCTAGATTCTCTATCAATGATTCTCACATCACAGCACATTTCTGCAATCTCATTGTTAATAGAAGATGAGTTTTCAGATATCTGTAAAATCTGAGTAATTAAGACAATGCAAATGTCATGAATTTATAATAAGAGTTAATCTGAGTAGATGAGCTCTCTTTTCACATCTTAATTATTTTCAGACTGAATACTTTAGCATAACTGAGAAAGTGAACACAGCTTTATAAGAGATATCTAATCACATACACAGATAATCAGCTCTCAAGACTCTGTTATAACTATATATACTCTGATGTCTGACTTCTCTGAAGTCTGTGTATTTCTAATAATTTTTATGTCAAATGTAACAATTATCTGTACTGCAGGTATGATACTCTCTGCTTCTTTGAAGAAGAAAATTGATAGTTGTGAGAGAATTGAGTATCATAAGTATTAAGAATGTGAGTGTGAGTTTTCTTTATTTTTTCTTTATTAATCTCTAAATTGTGTTTACAGCTCTATTTTTATTTTCTTATTTTTTAGCTTTAATAAGAGTATAATTTCTTCTTCTCTTTATATACACTGCAGACTGTTCATCTCAGTAGAAACTCATTATCTTTTAGACTAGAATTTATAAATAACAGTGTTAATATCTTTATTATAATTAGATTCTTAGTGAAGACTGTATTATTCTGACTTATCAGAATTCACAGTATAAAAGTTATGTCTCAGCTTCTACAGATATCTTATCTGTTCAGATAGTTCTTAAGTGAACTTATTCATCTTATCAGAATATTCTTATCACTGAATCTTGAATCAGAGCTTATATTCTCACTTCTCTGAGTTAATAATCTCTTTGATCTGATATTCTCTTTCACTCTCTAGTATCTTGTAAATAGAGTAATAAGCTACAGAATTCTCTTCTAAGAATTTCTTATATTCATAGAGTAAAGAGATATGAAAAACATTATATATCTATAACTCAGATGACAGCTTCAATCTATAGAACTGTGAGCTAACTTTCTTCATAATCTTATAAGATTCTATTTATAAGAGATTTAACTTCTTACTAGATCTTTATATAATAATATTTTCTAGACTCAGTCAGACTCTATTATCTTTCTTTAAACTCTTTATAATATGCTTAAAGTCATAGTATCTCTTCTAATACTCTTGAGTCTTTCTCAAGAATTCACAGACTTTCTTCTGAATCTTCTGAATTCTCTCAGCCTATTCACAGGCATTATCACACTCTATAGTGTACTTTCACAGATTTATTAGAATTATTTATGAATGAGTCTCAGTGAGCATCTTAAAGAGGGTTTTATCTGTACTGATATACTTTAAGTTATTATACACAAACTCTATAAGTGATAATTAATACACTCAGTCATTCTGATTGTAATTAACAAAGCACTGCAGATATCATTTTAATATACTTATCAGGTATTCTATCTGATAATCTGTCTGTTAATGAAAAGTCATGCTTAGATCTTATAAGATCTTCAGTATAGTTATCAGATCAGATCAGAACTCTTCTACAAAGATTAATTCTCTATTTAAGATAATATTTACAGACAAGTCATGCAATCAGATCACATCACAGACAAAGATATAAGTTAAATTCTTTCACTTCAAGTTCTTATAAGTGAGTATAAAGTGTGTTATCTTGATAAGTCTCAGTGGCCGAATGGTTAATGCGGCCACCTGATAGCACCTTGGCTTGGGAAACCAAGGCGCGTGGGTTCGAAACCCGCAGGGGATACATTAAATCCGGAACTCAAGCACCTCAGGTTTCTAATAAATACAGAGGTGTACAAATCGCTTCAATGAATCGCTCTATGTTTCTGGGCTGGGAAGTTATTATTGCATGTATCTAATTGTCACTTCTTTGTATTTTCCTATGTTCTTGTTATCTTGGCGTGGTCTCAACACCTGTATTTCCTTCTGTATAACCAACACTTGACCTGTATTTAACATCACGCAAGGACTCATCATAAGCTCCGCTTGCATATGAGTATAATAAAAGAATAATAATAATAATAATAATAATAAGTGTTATCTTGATGAAGTAATTCACTATCATCAGTACACTGTCAAAGCAGACATTATATATATTCTTACTTTCAGAGAGACTTATAAGAGTATTCATTTCTAGCTATTCTCAAGGTTTCTATGAAATGAGTAGAGGAGTAAGTTCTTTATATAGTCTGAATCACACTACTTATAAACTCTGACACATAGTATAAGAATTCACTATCTTCTTCACAAGTTCTCACATCTTTGATCAGAAGTATTTTCTTATAAGTAACTTATAAGTTCTAGTATCTGTAAAATAACTTACTAGAGAAGAGTTATGATATCTTTTAATAAGTTCTATACATAGAAACTTATTCACAGATATATAAATTCAGCTCTCTCTTCATAAGAGATTATTTAAGTCTCTTTAACTCTTTATTTCTGCAGAATTGATCTCTGCTATGAGCAGTTTCTGAATATAGTAAGTATATTCATTCTTCAGTTACAGTTCAGATAATCTGAATAGAAAATCTTATAAAGACTTATACTCTATTTTTCTTTACATCAGATCTTTCATAATACTTCTCAAAGTCTGTAAATTCTTCAGATTATAGATACTCTATTCAAGAATTCTTATAAAGATCTTCAGAGTGTTAACTCTCAGTGTTATAGAGAGTAGTTATACAGACTTCTTCTCTCTCTTCTCTTTCTTCTCTCACAGAGAATTGAGAGACTCTTCAGTCAATCTCTTTATAATACTTAGTCTGAGCATCTTACAAAGCTTTTCTATCTTCTCTAGTCTCTCTGTATCTGTCACTCTGATCTTCTTAATATAGTCTGATCTGTGAGAGAGTCTGTCTGCTGAGTTCTTAGTTCTCTTGATATATTTTATCTTAAGTCAGAATTCACTCAGTCTCTGAGCTCAGTGAATCTATTACTGTGAGAGATTCTTAATTGAAGTAAACTATTATAAGCTATTATAATCAGTTCTAATAGTAATCACTGTTATAAGACTCTCAAAGTAGTAATATCAGTGATAAAAGAATTTCACTATTATAAGAAGCTTCTAATTATAAATATTATAGTTAATCTCTGTAGATTGTATCTTTCATGAGAAAAAGATCACTGAAACTCAGTTCTTATTTAACTGTAGTTATAAGATTATTTCTGAAATTATAAAGAAGAAGATAT